AATGCAAACAAAAGAAAATAATTTAAACAAATTAGAGCAAAAATAACATACATGGGAAAATAAAAAAAATAAAATGGTTAATACCAACTAATTGAAAGAAAAAATTTATTTATCATGGTATATAATAAATCCTAACCTCATGCTTTCTAGTTCCATGCTTTGTTTGGAAAAATTAACCTAACCGCATGATTTCTAGTTCGCATGCATTTATTCAGGGAGAAAAAATAATAATAAATTAAAAGCTAAAGCTTATTTCTCCTTTGTGTACACCTATGAACAAAGGTTCAGTACTGTCTTAGATTAGGTGAATTTCTAGGGTTTATTATATGCAGAGTTTCAGTTCTAGGAGTAAAGGTACTCGAATTGTCCTTGTTGATAACCCCTTGGGCTGTCAAAACCCTCAATCCTAGTCCATTACAGACTTTAAGCGGATCGAGTTCAATTCGAGGGGACATATTTCTCTATGACTGACACGGAGAATAAATTCTCACGAAGACATAGAGCATATGAACCCCGAAAGTTACTTGCTAGGTCTGACACGGAGAATAAATTCTCACGAAGACGTCGCTTTCACTCCCACTTAAAAGGGACAAACTCAATTATAGAGCTTTATGTAATGCAAGTGTTGTGTGTGAGGAGAAATGTTCAAACCTCTAACAGAAAAATAAATAATAAAATAAAATACTTGCAAATAAAATGAAATATTAATAAGAAAATATATAAAAACTATAAAAATAATAAGTATATAAAAAATTTGAAAAGAAAGAATTATAAATTAAATATATGAATTTTTAATTTTTAATTAATAGAGACAATTTAAAAGTTTGACCGGTCCCCAGCAGAGTCGCCAAGCTGTCGTAACCGGTTTTCGTCCGGGCACGAAAAATTTATTTTGTGGGAAAAGTGATGTGAATAAATGGTTTTTAAAATAATTTGGGAGTCGCAATCGGCCTTTTGGGTCAGGTAGGTCGAATACCTAAAAATCATCTTTTAAAAGAGTTTTTAAGAAAACATCAGTTAAAAGATAAACTGATCTGCGTTTAACCAAAAATTCATTCTTTTTATTAATAAAAAGGGATTCGTGGTCGGTTACGTTTAGGGAAGGATTAGCACCCCTACAACGCCCAAAATTGGTACTTTATTAACTATAAATTGTCTCTATTATTAGAAGAAAAAAAATTTCAAATATATTTAATTCATAATCCTTTTATTTCAAATTTATAATTTTAAGAAAATATATTAATATATATAAATAAGATATTTATTTATTTAGAAATATCAGAAAAGGGCTTCTAGGTACCTTAAGACAGCTCTTTTCTTCGATATTAATAAATAAAAATGTAATAAAACTCAATTATAATTTTTATAATAGTTAGTTTTAAAATACCAGAATAGGACATCCAGTTGTATTAAGACTGCCCTTTTCTTTACTATGGAAAATAAATAAACATTATTAAATAAATAAATAATTATATATATTTATAATATAGTAAAACAATAATTAAAGTAATGACTAAAAATAAATAAAATAATAATAAATGTAAAATTATTTAAATTAATAAACATAATTTGAATCATCATAAAATAAAATTACTAATAGTGTAATTAACCCTTAATTAATTAATCAGTGATTAAAATAAAATTTATCAAAGTTTAAAGGCTCTATCTCGAATAAATAAAAACTCTAAATGCTAAAAATGTAATTTATCCTTATTTAATTAATCGGGTTAAAATAAATGTTAATAAAATTATAAGGTACTAAATCAGTTATTTACCCTAAATATATATATATAAACTGATAATGACTAAAATGTAATAAAATAAAATTGAATGACATAATTAAAAGAATCAAAACTTGCTTTCAGTGACTAATTTGTAATGTTACAAACTCGGAGTGACTGCGGAAAGGGTTTATCCATACATGTAAATTACGCGTATACCCCTTCCCAAAACGACGTCGTTCGGGAAGGGGTATATATACCCTAAACGCCTGGCCCGAAGGGCCAAGCTTTCCCATTTCTTTCTTTTCTTTCTTTCTCTGAGAGAGAAGACTCTCTCTGTTCTCTCTAAACTCTCTCCCCGGAGAGAGAGCTGAGCACCGGCCGGCAACCATGATCCGCCGCATATTCCGCCGCCGGCCACCGTCTCCGGTGGCCGGAAATTCCCAAATTTACCTAAAGTATAGATCTAAACGCCCTAAGACCGATTCCGGTCTTTGTTTTCCCTAAAAGACTCCTAATCGGAGTAAATCTACGAAAATACCTTCGGTATTTTCTGTTCTCCGGCGATGTTTAGTGCTTCCGACGATGGTCAAGGCTCCAAGGGTAAGTTTCTTTCTTCTTTCTTTGTTTTCTGTTTTGGTTTTATGCTGGTTGTGGGTTCGTCTCTGTTCGGTTCTTTCCTCTCTGTTTTTTTTTTCTGTCCTCGTTTCTCTCGTGTTCTCCGTTGCTCTCTGTCCCCGTCTTTCTTGCAGGTGTGGTGGCTTTTATAGCCACCATCGAGGCTCTCGTCGGACCGGACAATAGAGGGTCGAGTTTGGTGAGTCACCATAGCTATGGTGGTGACTCACCATAGAGCTCGACGTGGGCGGCTGTTATCGTTGCAGCAGAGCTTCTGGAGTCTTCTGTTGGAGTCATCGTGGCACTGAAGCGTCGGCAAGGCGGCTGGAACTCACTGGAACTTTGGAGCGGCGGCGGCGTCTGGAAGCTAGGGTTTAGATAACCCTAGCTGAATGTTACAAACCCTAAAGGGTTTGGGTTCTGCTGGGCCAATTGTAATCGGGCCCCAGTTTTGGGCTTTGTAATATTTTTATTATTATTATTATTATTTTTATTTAATAATAATAATAATAATACTAATATTAATAATAATAATAATAATAAAACAAAAATAATAAAAAAAATTAATGTTTACACATTGTCTCCATGAACGTCTGGAAGTAAGGTGGAATTGCACTTGCATCATCACCGCCAACTCAAGGGGGTCGAAAAGAATACGGTTCACCGGATCATCGACATCTCGTATCAGATCATCATCATAAGGCTGAGGTGTACCAAGGTAGAGCATATGGCTTGCTTCCCTTTTCTTGTCCACGTCGTCCCAAGCTTTTACCATCCTGATTTACGAAGAGATTTAATATCAATGTAGGAGGATAGGGGAATAGTGGGATCTAGAGAGACATTGATACCGGCTTTGAGAAAGATATGGCTAAGAAAACAACCATAAATAAGGGTATCAAGTTTTTTAGATTGAAAGTTGTTGATGACGTCGACAAGCTCACCCAAGATAATTTGGGGAGAACTTATTTGTTTATGATGTTGAAAGCAATGAAGCAACCAAATATCAAATGTACGAAGGGTGGAGAATTTACCACTAGATGGTCGAAACCAAGTGATAATAAGGTGCAAAAAGTGCCCATGAATGTCTAGGGTATTGACACTATGACCAACCTTATAAGGGGAATCAACAGTATCTCTCTCATTGTCTATACCTTGAACCTCTAGACCTAAGCCTCGGGCTTTGGAAGCGGCATATATGTGAAGGTATTGCCCCATGAGATAGGAGTGAATACTAATAATGGCATTTAGAGTTTGATCAACAACACAAACAACATTTGAATAGAAAATACGAACAAGTTGTTGAAAGACAATGGGTTTGATTTTGAAGGTATTGTCTAGTTTCCAAGATTAGAGTTGCGGAAGGTATTTGAAATTGAGCTCGATCATGGCAGAAAGAGAAGGCATAAACTCGCCTTTAAGGGGTAATGACTCAAAGAATTGCGAGTGTCGATGCCAAAATTTTTGGTGACCAGGTTCATTAAAGCATGAATTTTGAAAGGTGAGCTCATTTGGATTAGGAACAGGGTTAGGAATCAGATTTAGAGGTGGATTTTGAGGATGATGTGCTCGGGGAGGAGGGTGGGATCGGGAAGAACAAGCTGGTTTAGACATATTGGGATAAAATCGGGATACGGAAACCTGTAAAATGACACAATATATATACATATGCTAACATCAATGCTAAAATTCAAAAGAGTCTGAAATATTCAAGGTAATGAAAATTAAATAAAACTTAAGAGCTTAAGGAGTTTTAAATACATGTATGAGTGTAAAAAGAAATGTGGAAAACAAGCAATATATTTTAAAATAAGTATAAATATAAATGTAATATAGAATATATATATATATATATACAAAAAATATGTAAACAAAATATGAATATAGAAATGTTTTAAATAAACGTTAAATATATGTATAAAATATAAGTTTATATATGAATCTATATGTATACGTATGAATGTGTATGAACAAAAATAAGGTCAAAATTTTTTTAATTAATAAATTTGATTTTTTTAAAATAATTGTAAATTTGTAATGAAAATCGGCAGATAATGGTGCGAAAATATTGTATAAACAAGGGTCACTCACTAATTTAACATAAAGTAACAAGTTGAAGCCTAAATTCAAAAGAAAAATAAATAAGGGTTTTAAAAAAATTAAATTGAATCATGATTTGAGAAGTAAATGGGGAATGTAGCTCGATTTTGATGAAATGCAGGCAACAAGCATGAGAATTGATCCAAAATCGATCAAAAACGACAAAAAGTGATTGCGATTTAAGAAATGGACGAGAGGTTTTTCAAACGGCTGTTTAGGGTTTGAAACAAATGAAGAAATTTGGGAGTTTTTTAGAGTTATAAAGCACGCCTAACCCTTAGTATCAGTAATCATTTAAATGAGTATCAATACTATAAAAACAATATCAATTCTGAATGTACAATATCAATACCAATGAAAAACAATATTAGTACTAAGATATATATATATATATATATATATATATATATATATATATATTAAACCAAATGCAATCCCCAAAAGTTGATGAATGGGAAGCGAAACCAAGGAAAGAATATATGTGGAAACCAGAAGGGAAAAAAGTAGCAAAAAATAATGGCCCACCTCAAACTTAGTATCCCCCATGAATTACAAGGCAAACCGTTGTAATCAAGGTAATATAAAAAGTAAAAACCACACCACTAAGGCAAGTATTTATAAGGTAACAAAATGGAGTAAAATAAATATACCATAATATCAAATGTATTACACAGTGAAATAAAAAAATTATTTTAAATAAAACTGAATCCAAATATCGCTTCTCTAGAAGATCAACGCAATGGCTGGCCATCCTAATGCCAAACCTCCAATTATCTTCTGCAAGCTCTTCATTCTCCCCGCTCCACTCTGCATTGTTTTTAAAATACAACGTTATTCAATTCAATGAAACTAATTACCATATAGTAACAAATAAATAAATGCATGATTGGCTGTAGACTTGTAATTATTGTAACCAGAAATCGATATTCAATTTGATGTCGTGTAATCATAAACAATTGATTTAATTATATATATATATATATATATGATGCATTAAATTATTGTAATTTTAAAAAATAAATTCGTAGTATATATAATCAATTATAAATGTTTAATCATTTTTGTCAAAAAAAAATATATGTAGTGATTATTTCGAGTATTACTGTAGATCGCCTCGAGATCTGTTAGTCTCTATCTCAAAAGCTAACAGAACTAGCTACCCCTTCCTCAAAGGCGCGTCACAGCCGTCACTAATACGCGCTTCAGCGAAATCGATTCTCGCTTTAAAATCCACGATCATTCTAAATTGCATTTTCAGAAATCTACATATGAAGTCAAGTTTAGTTACTTCCGCCGTCTAACTACTCTACATTTTCAGATCTGGAAGAGCATTGTTTTTTATTGTACATTTTAAGTAAATCTGATTGAGTGTGAGAAAACAGATCAGAATGTACCTCATCGGCGGCGAGAGAAGGTCCGGGAGAGGACGCACCGAGGCTAGGTCCTGGAGCACCGGTTGGTGGAGCCGGAGGTCCGAGCAAATCAGGTGAAGGAGCGGGAGCACCGTGTTTCTTTGGCTTCTTCTTGCTCTTGCTTGGAGCCGGTGCAGGAACATCGGCAGCAGTTGGAGCCGCAACAGGAGCCGGAGGAGAGGCTGAGCTCTCTGGTGGGGTTGTCGGTGCAGCAGCGGGAGGCGACTTGGCTGGAGGAGAACTCACAGGACTAACAGCCGGAGCAGATTTTGAGGGAGCTGGAACCGCTCCAGACTTCGAGGGAGCAGCAGCCGGTGGTGACGAAGTAGGTGGTGAGGAAGTTGGTGGAGAAGAAGTTGGAGCAGCGGTCGGAGCTGGTGACTTAGATTTACTAACAGGAGCCGTAGCGGGTGCTGCAGCAGCAGGCGTAGTCGCTCCTGATGGTGCTTTAATGGGAGCGGCGGTCGGAGATTGACCACCGACACCAGCCACCACAATGCAGATCAAAGCGACCGCAAACACGCTTCTACGATCCATATTATTCCCCCTCAAAATAAAAAGTGATGTTTATTTGTTTGAGACGGGGGCTTGATGTGGTCACAGAAAATAATGGGCTAGTGAATATAATTATATAAATAAACGAAAAGGAGCCATGATGAGTAAAGTAATGGATAGGTTTAAAAAGATCTGAACCGTACATTTTAAGGCCCCCACTACCACATTAGAAAGGAATAGCGGTTGGATGATCTCTATTGAATGGCCCACAGGCATCAAGTATTACAACAAAGGAACAGTGAACACAGTCTGGATATGACCATCTCGATGAGGGATTCCTAAATTAGTGCACGTGATTTGCTGCCAGATAACTAATTACTGTCCAATTGAACTCTTAATAATTTGAGCGTTCAGGGAATTCGGTTTTTCTCTTTGAATAAATTATATATTTAATCATTTAATTATTTTTATAACTTTATTTTAATTATTTAATTATTTTTTAAAAAATTATCATTAAACTCATATTTTATTCTATATTAATTTCTTGTCATTTAAAAAATAATGATGATATGTTATTGTACGATAATCACATCTTTATTGAAAAAATAAAAAATATCACATCAATAAATAAATAATTTTGTTTATCTTTTAACATCGAATGATTAAAATAGATCAAAACGTAATTTTAGTGATGATTTTTTTTTAAAAAAATTAATGATTAAAACATAACATCAAGAATAATTAGGTGGTTAAATACTCATAATACCATTAACCCCTGATAGTTACTATTTTGACTTTTAATATTTGATTCTTTGATTAAAAAATCTTTCTATAAATGAAAATTTTCAGCTAACCCACAATTAACGTTTTGAAGTAGAGACTTTTTAAGTATGAAATTTTGGAATATTGTAGGGGATTTTTTTTTAAACGAGGGTGTTTGAGAATTATTTTAAGATCTAGGTGATTTGCTATAATACACCTTAAATTTGTCACGAGTTCTATAAAATATATTAAAAAATAAAATATGTTAATGAATTTTTAAAAAATTGTACAAAACTTATCGACGAGTTCCAGGTGTACTGTTAGACATGCACAAATTCGAATTTAAATTCGATCCGGATCGGATAAAAACCGATCCGGTTTTTTCACCTAGCCAAAAAACCGATTTATAAAAAATTCGGTTCGGATCCTAACCGGTTTGAAGGGCCGGATGGTGTAACCGGTTTCGGTTTGAAAAAAAACCGGTTTTTTAAAAAAATTGGATATAAAAAAACTAATTTTAATATTATTAAAATTACATCGTTATCAATTACAACAAAGTTTACGATAATTGAAATACTTAAATACTTTCAAGTTCGATAAATTCAAATACTTAAAAACTTCCAAGTTCGATAATTAAAACAAAGTTTACGATAATTGAAATAAAGTTTAAAAATAAACTTTATCGCATCTCTTCTTCATCATCTTCGCCTTCTTTGTTTGGAGGTGTATTTCAAGTTCGACTTCTTCAATGTGTAAGTTTGCTTCCAAATCGGCATTGATTGCATCTTCTAGGGTGGTGATATGTTGCTTCCGAGCCCCTCCATTCAAATAATCCTTCAAACAAATGCATACTTCCACCGACTCGGGACTTAGTCTTGATCTCCGTTGCGATATAACCCTGCCACTAACAGAAAAAGCAGATTCCGAAGCTACCGTAGAAGCTTGGACGGTTAGTAAATCACGGGTCATGGCGGCTAGAATCGAAAATTATGCTTCCTTTTCTTTCCACCAAGCCAAACTATTCAAACTTTCAAACTCTTCAAATGCCATTTTTTATAGAAAAACGCATGACATGTAATTTCTCAACTCGCTACTTGGGGTGGTAGTACGTGATCGATTGGATTGAGAATTTACAAGAGTGTTAAAAAGTGACAAATTTATGTTACTTGGACGTCTACTAGATGATTCCACATTCTTTCTCATTTGATCATTATTACACTACTTGATCCGTATTTAGTTAAATAAATTGCAAACATGTCTCAAAAATATTTGTTAAAATAATTTATTTGGTTTTGGACAAAGCTGGGTTCATCATCAGTTAGATTAAAAGCAAACGCAATTTGTTCAATTAGTGTTTCAATCCCGCCAACATTTAACGTTGGGTTTAAAGCGGCGACACAAGTAAAAATGGGGGGAATCTCCTTAAAATATTTTAAAAGTTTTTCCTTCGTTACAAAGTCAATTTCTTGAAAAACTTCGGTTTCAAATTCAAAGTCATTTAGTCGGGTAGCCAACAAAAATATTTGATTAATAACCAACGAGCTAGTATGATAATAAACACCGAATAAAAAAAGTTGTTGCATTTTTAAAAACTCCAAGCAAATCAGTTATTTTGGCTATAGTTTCCCAACTCGAATCTGGATAAATGTTTGAGACATGACCCCTCTCGAAAAGCCGATCGTGAAATGTTTGCAATGATTCCCTTTGCCTTAAGGCGGTATGCATCATCATCCAAGTTGAGTTCCAACGAGTTGGACAATCCAAATTAGGACCCAAAGCTTTTTTATTAACCGACTTACAAAATCGTTTATAATAATTTAGTCTTTTGTTGTTCTTACATAGAACCGATTTTATCATTGCTTTAAATTTTAATCTAATTGGCTCAATAAACTCCAAACCGACTTGCACTGATAAATTAATTATGTGTGCAACGCAACGGGTATGAAAACATGCACCGTCTAAAATCGGTGAAAGTAATATTTTTAATCTTGGAACCGCTTTGTATTATTCGATGCATTATCAAAGGATATAGAAAAAACTTTATTTTCTAATTTATAAAGACAAATTACCCTTTTTAAAAGTGTAAATAAATTAGCATCGGTATGTGGCTCACCGAATAATTCAAATGCGATTGTTATTTTCATCATTTGTCAATTATTTTGATCTAACCAATGTGTCGTAACGGCTAAAAAAGAATTTCCGGTATTCTGAGGGGAACTCCAAACGTCACATGTAAGCGACACACCATAACAGTGTTCTTGGAATCTTAAAATCATTTTTTCCCTCGCCGTACGCCACATTTTTATAGCATCTATTCTAAGCGTATTACGACTTACTTGAGTATAACGTGGTTGCATTAGTTGAATTGTTGTCGTGAAATCTTCATCATCAAAGTGGTCGAACGACAATGCTTTTGTAATCACGAACTTTGTAAACGCTTCTCGTAATTTTTCGTTGTCGTAAACAAAAACACCACCTTGCGGTGTAAGATTCGATTGACTCGGATCTGATCTTGAGCGAAGTGTCTTGCATGATTTTGTCAAATGGTTCTTCAACGTTGTGTTTCCTTCCGGTGCAAGCAACTTTAGACAAAGTTTACAACGCACCCTCCTCGAGCCATTTGACATCTCACATAAATCGTAGTGATCCCAAATATCTTTGTTTCGAGTGTGTTCGATCACTCTCGACTTCAAGGTTTCTCCCGACGGAAGATTCAGCCGTGTTACTTGTAGCCATGATGAACAAAAAATTACAAAATAAGATTTGCGAGATGTTTAGGTGTTGTGTAATAAGATTTGAGAAAGTTGTAATCAACCAAATATATCCCAACCTATTTATACATGTTTAGGGTGGTAAAATGGTATTTTTTAATAGAAAAAATGGTCACAAAACCCTCCAACAGCTATATTAACTGCTAGTTTTTTAAACTCAGACCGATTTTTTAACCGGTAAAAAAATCGGTCGTCTAATTTTTTCTCAAACCGGTTATATTATCCGATTTTAAAATATTCAATCCTGTTTAAAAAACGATTTTTCCTAAATCTGATTTCGAATATTTTTTGTGCAAAATCGGATATTCATATTTTTTGTGCACTCTTATATTGTAGTAAATGGATTCGATCGAAAAAATAATTCTCAAACACCTCATTATTTTTTATTTTTTTCCAGCTTGAATTATTTGACTAACTTTGATTATTTTATGAAATATTAAAAGTTTTTTATCCTAAATAAAATATTAGGATCAAAAATACTTTAAACACAAAAATAATCATTTGGAGGTTAATTTTGATATCAAATATGTAGTTTGGTTGTTTCTTTTTCTTTTTTAATTTAGTGTGGGCTGGAAATTGACAGATGAGACAGCTGGAATGTGGTGCGGTGGGGTCAAGTTGCGGAAAGTGACATACCAATACAGCAATGCCACGTATCGGCCCAGCGGAAATGATTGTACCAATGGTTGGAATATTTTAGATGGATGAAATTATTAGAATGTCTCTCGCAAAATTTGTGGGTCCCGTTCAAAAGTTGTTTTGTATCGTTTAACATGATACTACATGTACACAAACCCACTGATTCTCCTTTCCCGGATAATTTTTGTTCGAGGTAATTGTATCATTTGTCATAAATTAAGATTCTGATTATATATTAATCTTTTAATTTAATTCAATAAAATAACCTTTTAATCTCATTGAATTTAAATTTTCAGATTGAATTTCACGTCGTTTGTGACTCATAATTTTTGTTTGTCATCTTTCACTAATTTGATTTTTTTATGATTTATTTGTTAAATAATTATATTGTTTATATATATTTTGTTCGAGTTTTTAGTTGAATTTTTTACATTTTTCTCGTATAATCTTTGTATAATCTCAAGTGGTTAATATTTTTTATATGTTTAATTTACAAATATAATTGTAAATCTTGTTCGTATTTTTTAAACTTTTTAAGCATAAAACTACAACCACTATTTATTTTTTAAAAAAGCTAAATATTATATTAATTTAATCTCATCTGTTCATTTCACTAAATTTCCATCTTCCTCAACGTCCTCCGACGCAATTAAAGCTGGGCATAAAGAAGAACAAACTCTATTGGGGAATTTCATGTTTTGGTTGGGAAATTTGATATGCTCGTTTCATTACCACAGATCCTTCTTCCCAGTTGTTTGATATTGTTAAAAAAATTGTTCTTTATAAAATTGTTTACAGTTGAAATCTCGTGTTCTTTGTGAAGACTTTGAATTTTGAAATTGTAGTTTTGTTTTTCTTGGAATCATATGCTGGGAAATTTATTTGAGTTATTTATATAGATCTACTAAATTATTAAAAAAAATTAATTTATTTGCTGACTGAACCCTAAATATGATCAAAT